AGTATCTGACCACCAGGCCCCTCTGTAGAGCCTTCCTACCCTCAAGTGAATCAACACTTCCATGCAGCTTAGTGTTATTTGCAAATTTACTGATGGTTGGAACCAGAAAAACCCATGTTCGCGGAGTGTAACAAAATTCTCAGATCACTACTGAGTGCCTGAGTGAGTACTTTGAAGTCACTGAACATAGAATCATAGAATGGTTTGGGTTGGAAGGGACCTCAAAGCTCATCCAATTCCAACCCCCCTGCCATCAGCAGGGACACCTTCCACTAGACCAGGTTGCTCAAAGCCTCATCCAACCTGGCCTTCAACACTTCCAGGGAGGAGCAGCCACAATTTACTTGGGCAACCTGTTGCAGTGTCTGACCACCCTCACAGTGAAGAACTTCTTCCTAATATCTCATCTAAACCTCCCCTCTTTCAGCTTAAACCCATTTCCCCTTGTTTTGTCATTAACTGCCCTTAGGAAAAGTCCCTCCCCAGCCTTCCTGAAGCCCCTTCAGGTACTGGGAGGCCGCTAGAAGGTCTCCCTGGAGCCTTCTCTTCTCCAGGCTGAACAGCCCCAACTCTCTCAGCCTGTCCTCACAGCAGAGCTGCTCCAGCCCTCGCATCATCCTGGTGGCCTCCTCTGGACTTGTTCCAGCTGCTCCATGTCTCTCTTGTGTTGGGGGCTCCAGAACTGGACGCAGTATACTCCAGGTGACCTTTCAGAGATTTTTATTTTCTTAGCAATGCCATTTACAGAACTGTATAAATGAAACGTTCAGATGCACATCCTGTACTTCCTGTCTCAACTGGTGGGAATTTAAGTCGCAGACATCAGCATTAAGGTTTGAAAATGGCATTAATTTTCACATTCATCCAAGTATGGCAGCTCTGAACAACACAGCCCATAGAATGCTCAAGAAGAAACCTACTATTAGTTGAGAGCATTACATTTGTTAGTAATAGCCATAAAATGAGATTTGCTGAATTTAGCAGGAGATGTTGAAATTTAATTCGAGTTGCTTTTGGAAAGGACACCACGATCAGCTCCTCACCTGGCTTTTGTATAACTGCATTACAGGCGTTGGCAATTTCTTCTCTCTTTGCCTCGTCTGGATATTGATTCTCATTGAAGTAACTGCAAGAAGGAAGAAAAAACATAAAGTTTTATTCAGAAATCAGAGCATGAATGCTACCAAAGCAGCTTCACTCAATGGTGTCAACTGCTAGTTTATGCATCACTCTTACAGAGGTAACACAGGCACAGTCAATTTTACATAAACCTGTATATGTGTGAGGTAATAACATGCACTCAAATCCACACAGCGTGGATACAACTTTGCAAATACCTCAGATAAATGAATATTATCTCAACATTTGCAGCATCACCTCAGCATTTGGAATATTGCATTAGGGGACACAACAAAGTAGGCAATGTTATGAATATCAGAATTAAGACGGTCAAGTGAAGCATCACGTCAGAAGATATCACAGGCCAGGCCTCTGCCTTTTTTATTATAATTTACTTTATTTTTTTTTTCCTGACATTCCCCCAGCTTAGGCAACATTTTAGAAATGAAGGAGCTGTTCAATATTTATTTTGATCCCTGGGTTAATATAAACACACATGCATACATACCTGTATATATACTATGCACAAGCATGCACAAATATTGCAGGCTTTAGACAGATATGGTATGTAGATCGTACAGACAAAATTACACAGTAATCCAGTAAGGTTTCTAGAGTCAGACTAGTTGTTTTGGGGTTTTTTGGTAAATCACAATTTAAAAAATTTTACATTTTCCCCAAAACAACATATTGAGTACAGCACATTTTAACAGTATTTCCTTCTGAATAACTCTGATTTTATTGTACTTTATATGCAGTAAACACCCTATAAAAGTTTCAACTCTTCTCTTTTACTTCATTTAAGTCCTTTACAAATTTTAATGAACTGATTTACATTCTCCAGAGCTTATCAGATTTGCATTTAAACCAACAAAAACTCCTGTTTACTTCAATGGACTCTGATAAGCATGCCACAAACAAGAGACTACGACATTTTTTTCTGTAGATTGTCCATAATCCTAAGAATTCTTTGATCAACTTTGATCAGCAGCAGGTTCAGCTGTTGCACAGCTGCTCTGTATTGGAAAATAAAATATTGCCTTTAATTGCAGATCATTTGGTAGTAGGAGATTTAGGCATATTTAGGTAATTATTATTCTCCATGGTCATATTTTTCCTCTGGTGGATCAGTCCCAGTGCAGGTACTTTCTATGGAAACTCAAATTCTGTTCCATCCAGCAACTGTTTCTGCCCAACCTTCTTTTGAATAAGTGGTACTAATGCAGATCTCACTATTTCACTTCCATTTTATTTCAATTCACTGTAAATACAAATTCTGAACATTCAGTTTGAATTTTAGATACTACTTCTTCAACCCATTGTTGACAGTGTTATTTACAGTCGCAGCTACGCCCACAAACGGAGTCTTATTTCAAAGTTGCTACTCATTGACTAAGAGAAATCACACATTAGCACAGCTAGTTGCACTGTTAATGTACTTCCAACTTGATTTGCTAGCTTGGAGAGCACATGAAGCCACAAAAATAGCTCCATCTTCACTAAACAAAGGGCAAACTATGCCTATACTACCAATTTGGGCTTTGGAGGCACTCACAGTTACAAGCAAACATCCACTACTACTTCCCTGGACCTCTGAGTTGCTCTTAAGAAGTAAATCTGGAGACCATAACTGCAATTTCCACCAGGCTTGAATCTGCTCTGAAAAACAGTTGAGATTTTGCCATTAGACCTGAAGAGGAGGATACCTGGTGACACTTACTTTCTGGGAAGCTTCAAGTACGTAACACTGTCAACTCT